GATGGAAGAAAGCAGAGGGTTGTTATAAATGGAGTTCAATCAAACTGGATTAATGTCAAGAGTGGGGTACCTCAGTCTTAGAGCCTTCACTCTTTATGATGAAAGAATGGTAAATAAATTACTTGAATTTGAAGATGATATTAAGATCTTGGGTGTTGCTAGCTGTGAAGAAGATGCTGCCGATTTACAAAAGGATCTAGATCGTTTAATTAGTTGGGCAAATGCGTTTTAATTATAATAAATGCAAGGTAGTGCACGTGGGATATCACAATTAGAATTATAAGTATAATTTGGACGGGAATAACCTTAACAGTGTCGTGAAAGAAAGAGATCTTGCTTGGTGGAATAGTTGATCAGTCTCTAAAGCCATCCAAGCAGTGTGCTATTGCTAGTGATAGGGCAAATATGATTTTAGGTTGTATCTATGGAAATAATTAATACACATCTAAAGAGGCTATATTTTCATTATACAGGTCATTGGTTAGGCCACATTGGAATATTGTGTTCAGACTTGGGCTCCTTACCTTAGGAAAGACATTGAATTGTTGAAAAGGGTTCAGAAAAGGGTTACTAGTATGGTGCCTGGGATGGAGGGATTGCCATACGAGGAGAGGGTGAAATCTCTCGGATTGTTTTCTCTTGAAAAAAGAAGAGTTAAGGTGGATCTGATTGAGGTGTTTTTCATACTTAACACTGAAAATAGTAGGATTAGGGGTAAGAGTCATCTTCAGCTAAGACAGTTTTATTTTTCTAACAGGGTGTTTGGCCTTTGGAATTGGTTGCCTTCGGATGTTGTGGAGGCAGTAAATTTAAGTGAGTTTAAGCAAATAGTCATAAATCTCCAGCAAGAAGAAATTTGGAAGTCTCCCTCACTGTTGGAAGGATCTGTATCCCACATGAGGTGTGGGTGGTAATTGAGGAAGGTATATATTGGTAAGAGACTATATGTCAGACTTGCTTCAAGTATTTTCCCAGTCTTTGACCAGAAAATCATTTTACACTGCATGAAAATTTTAAAGCCAGTGGTCCAACTACCAGTGACAAGAATTGTAATTATTGTGCCACCAGGAAATGAAATATTCATACCAGGACTTATAAAGAATAAATGTAGTAACTGAAGCCTAGTAGAATTAAGCATTCCAATTTGACCTGAGGAATTATCAGTTGGAAGAAGCCACATGGATCTGAAGACTAAGACTGGCATCATTAGGCCCATGAATACAAGAAATGTGGGTCAATTCTGGACAGAACATTAGAAGATGTGAAGCTGTACAAATCATTACATGATGTTTTTTTTATTTCGCGCAAAGCTACACGAAGGCTATTTGCGCTAGCCGTCCCTAATTTAGCAGTGAAAGATTAGAGGGAAGGCAGCTAGTCATCACCACCCACCGCCAACTCTTTTACCAACGAATAGTGGGATTGACCGTCCCAATATAATTCCCCCACGGCTGAAAGGGTGAGCATGTTTGGTGTGACGGGGATTCAAACCAGCGACCCTCAGACTGCGAGTCAACTGCCTTAATCACCTTGCCATGCTGGGCCTTACATGATGGATTCTTACCACCTCATTTAAAGGTTACTTGACTTAGTCATGGAATACCATTATACATTTTCCAGACAAGTGAAATATCTCAAGGTTAATACTAGAGATGCAGCCCCGATATGTCAGGTGGCCAGATTACACCTAGATTTAAAACAGAATTAATCTCTGAAAGAAGTGGAAACCATGAAAGAACAATGTGTAATATAACTGAGTACTAGTTTTTGGGTATTATTTACTCTATTTGGGAAGAAAACATCTAGCAAAATTCTGTGTGGGAACATCATGATCGATTACATGACTTTAGCCAAGAAAGACTTAGATCAATTAGTTATATTATGAAAGGTTACCATGATGTAAATGGCTATAAACCTGCCATGCCACAAGAGGCCTATCTGAAATGTTAAGTAGATTTGAAGGACCTTGTGCTGTCAAAAGAACCAGTGATACAGTCCAAGCCACTGGTCATCCACTGTGATTGTCTTTGAAAGTATACTGATAAGAGAACAGTCAGCTGGATAATTTCAAAGTATACTTCACCAAAGATAATCACCAGAAGAATCTAAATTACCTGTCGAGACCACTTTCAGAATATCATCAGATATGGAGCCACCAGTGGATTCCTTGACCATCTACCTGAGAGAACACATCCAGCGACAAGTGTCGATAAAGGACCAGAGGTCTTTCCACTTTCATACCATAAACCACATAAAACTATCAAAAAGATTTGTCAGTCCAGAGATAGTAAATATGTAAAGAAAGAAAATTTTGTTCTGTTAATCAAAATTTTGTACATTTTTGACAAAATTAATGATTGTATTGTCTATATTTATGGATACTGATGTTAATTGTCAATATTTACTTTATAGTTAAATATGAGAGTTTAGTTTTATGTACTAATGTTTTCAGGAGTACCAGGATTGTTCAAGATACTCAATCCAGGGAAAAGCAGTGTTGTAGGCTATTATTTTTTAGACGTTTGAATTGTTTTTGGCTGAAAAGAATTTTTAATATCTTATGATAGGCATGTTTTAATGACTAGAGCTTTTTTTTTTTAAACATAAATTAGGCTAGACTAGACAAGATACTTGGTTGATTATTGAGTTAGTTAGTTAGCCAGTTAGATCAGTGCTGAAAATTTTGAGTTTCTTTTCAAGGAAGTACTAGAAATATGAGAGAACTGTATTAAAGAGGAAATCAGCAAATAAGTGGAATTTCTACTTAGATGTTATTTATTTATGAAGGTTACATGAAACTTGTAGTCATAAAATTAAAATGCTTTTTCATCATTAAATGGACTGGACATTGAATTCCAATTTTTACCAAATATCACAAAAGCACAAACTCAACCAAAAAAAAATATCCATTACATTATGAAACTTTAAGGTACAAATAATCAATTTGGGACACACCATCAAAAGCTAAAGCCTTTAATAAAGTTACATATTTTCCAAATATTCTCCATATCAGGCATTTGAACTTTTTTTTTTATTGGTTTGTTGGTTCAGTATTTTTTGTTTTTGGTATTAGTTTTCTCAAAATACTTAAAACATATCATTATGATACATAAATCTGTGTTTCCAGTTACAAGTAGGCAGTTCACACAGACTGAAATAACTAACAATGGAAATGTAATAAACTATTTTTCAGGAGGGAAGGGAGAAAACACCACAGATTTTGGCTGCATATTAGGCCCTATAAATGATTATACCAACAAGTATTTGTACAAAAATAAATAAATCATGATCCAAAAAAATTCTTAATTTTGAAGTGTGTTTTTCTCCTAAAAAAATACACCATATACAATTTGGATGTTGGTAGAAAAGAAAAAAAAACTATTTTTTTCCTTTGATGCTTTATTGTTCGTAATTATCTCTGGAAATTCTGCCAGTTATCTCAGTGACTGACATCAGAAACAATTGTTTCCTGTGGTGTTGCAAAAGTAAAAAGTTAAGGGATTCTACGTTTAATGTACCGTAAAGAGCAGTTTGTGAATTCCTACAAACTAAGGTAATACGTTTACATTAAGTGTTGTCAAGAGTACATAAACCACAGTGTATATAATGACACAATGTATATGCTAATGTGACTTTTGTGGTCTGCAGCAATTTCTTATACCTAATTCCATTTATCTATCAAAATATCTTTGCATACAATGAAAAAGACAATTTATTTTTTGCATATGGAGATGATAAAAGCTGGAAGTATTTCATTCATTATTAATAAAACATTCCAAACTAGTTATAGACCACTCCATAATGCAAAAAAGAACACGTAACCATTCAGAATAATGACTTGAAACAACTTGAAGCTAAATCAGTGACATGTGTTTGTGTTAAATGGCATAAGCATTTTGGATTTTAACCTACAAGAGAGTAGCTGCATTCTCTAAATGCACATTGCATCTGAAGGAGGCTAGAAGTTCAAATGCAAGGTATATAATAAAAGAACTTTTTCTTTTGAGGAAGTCCTGATTTCATGCATGTTCAATATTCAAATTAACATATAGAACATTAAAAAAAAGAAGAAAGTAGATATGACCTTAAATTTTATTTACATTGCTAAATATTTACTTGTTAATTTTCAGATTTCATAAAATCAAGGTTGATTTTGGTTATAGATGACTTGTAAAAATCATTATGTGAAAGAACTTATACAAAGCAGCATGATTCTTACAACACAGAATTTAATATCTGTTGTTTTGAAGTTGGATGGTTTGAGCTGGTATCAAATTAAAAAATTTATTGCAAAAAAAAAGTATATTAGAATTCTTACAGTGAATATAACAATAATCAAATTTGTGAGTTGTGTGGAAGCTATACAGTTTATTATTATTACATTTCTCAAAAGTGTTTGTATAAAACTTATTCCATTACATTAGATTGCACTCCAACATCAAGAACCAAGTGACGGGTCAACCAATACATAATAAAGGGTTGCACTACACACAAGACAAGGAGAAGGTAAAGACTGCGACGACTCCCTCCTCCATAGTGATCCGATGTACTCTGTGAAAGAAGTGATACTCGGAGAGTTCTTAGCTAGTAAAAAGAAAGAACATCAATTTAGGATGGTGTTAGAAAGTTGGACTCAATTAGTTACAAACTACATGAACTTCTACAAATCTAATCGTATTTTACTGATTATCCAAAATTTCTACTTAAGCCAAAAATTAATATTTGAAGCTTAGAAAAACGAATGTAAAAAACAAACTATGAAATATAATTTTTTTATGTAGTGTGAGAGATAAATTACAAATATACATGTACTTATTGGATATCATTGATGACTAGCAGAAAAATAAAAAACAAATGAGAAATTCTTTTTTCAATGATTAAAACATAAGACCTTTGTGAAAGCAATGTGAGAGGTGCGGTAAAAGAAGATAAATGGTATTTATAAACTATTCACAAAGTACATTTATCTCCCTCTACATATGTACATGTATGTAAGTATACATTTATATAAAAAAGAAACTGATGTTTGATGCACCTAATGAATGGACAAGAGAATCAAGAAACATGATTATTCAATTCCAAGCAAAGGTCAAAGTTATAGCAAAAAACAAATATTGAAGGTCAAAAACATATACTTTATTCCAGATTAAGGTTATATATAGTAAATTATAAATTCTTCTTTCCAAAGTTAGATACATTATCAGGCAGGCGGTAGCATTGCCTACGTAAGGATGGCTTGGATTGTTCATCAAAATGGTATTTTAAATATCTCCTCAACAGGTCATCAGAAGTTTACAATACTATAAAGTGTTTACTTTTATAACAATATCTATGTAATGACTGAGTCACAATTTCTGGGAATGTCTGTAAATATCATTGCAAAAAGTTTGAATTTCTTGTTATTCTTTCTTCTGTTTCTTTTTTAATACCTGGTAATTCAAAAACCAAAACAATGGTGTCAACCAATTTCACTGAGGTGATATAGATTCAAACAACATATCTGCTTTTATAAGTATTATTAACCAGTAGAAATTAAAAACAAATCATAATTATAGTGTAAACGATGTTAACACTACCCCTTGAAGTTAGCTTTCTTACAGAAATTTGGTGTTCCTTTAAAGTTCCTTTGAGTCTGTTTTTTTTAATTTAGTGGATAGAACAGCCCAGAAGGACCAAAAGGTCCTTTGTTGTCTTTTTAATGTGATGTGTTATGTTAAAATGCCAGCTGGGGTCTAGCTATTATCACAGATGTCAGTAAGAAGGGCAGGATTGTCACTGCTAAGTTTAAGCATTATTTTAGGTACCAATTAATTTTTAAAATAATATGATACACAAAACAAAATGGCTAAATTATAGTGTTCAGTTGTAATTTAGTAAAACTTATGTTTTCCAAATAGAATTATACCAGCAAATTGTAAAAACTGTTTACATTAATCCATAGTTTTAAGTTTCTCAAAGATTCAGAGAAGCATTTCCAGGAATTTCCAGGCTACAATTTTATTGGAACTGCATAGTTTCTTTTCTATGTTTTATTAAAATATAGGGAAGTACATATCCATCTGTACCAATAAAAGTTAATATTTTAAATACACTGGAAATGGATTTCCAAAGGTACTTACCACCAGTCTATATACCACATCAATTTTATGCCATTTTTGAACATGTACATATCATGTGACTACTCTCCACCAAAGTATTACATCACCTATATTGGTGCAGCTATCTCCCTCAGCAACTGTGAACTGGGAAGTAGTAAGGTCTCCCATGCTCCACTGGAAGAAAAAATGGGGTGGGGGAGTAAGTGCGATAGGGAGTTCAGAAGAATGTCACACTAGAGAAAGTGCAATGGGTGTTCACAATTCCATATTTTGAAAAGCAGATCCTCCCCGATTTATTCAATCAAGGGGTTGGCAGGGATGGGCAAAAATTCCCTTCTGCTTTACTCATGAAAGTTCATGAGTGATGGTCCACACTGGAGTGAAACTTGTGATAAACATATGTATATACCACTGGGCATGCCACCAGTGGTCTTGCAGAACATTCCATCTTTACAGTGAGCATTTAATGCAACCAGTAAATAGTGTGAGTTTGAGGCAAAGTGTACCTGATCAGGCAACATACACCACAGAGTGAGATCCCATTAGCAAAAAAAGAGAGGGTCTCTGAAAAGAAAACAAAGGAAATGATGTGATAAGACTTACCCAGGTCAAAGGCAAACAGACATGTGCAGAATCACATTGGGAGGGAGACAATATCCACCTGAGGAAAATACAGTCAGATCATGCAGATAATGAGTGACAAAGGTACTCAGAATAGTCCACATTCCAGCCTGAACAATCTCTTCTACCAGTTGGCAAAGGCAAGCAGCCAAAGACATGGTGATATGATGAATTTGATGAGAATAAACATTATGGAAATGGCAACCTTCCATGGATAAGTCAGAATACGTTAGCTTAATGAGTTGAAAGACCCAAGAGATAAATCATGGGAAACAGATGGATTTCAGGGAAGAAAAAGTCAGGAACGTGAACTCCGAAAGGGGACAGTATGTGCCACATAACACTATAAGGAGTGAACCAAACAAGGAAGCCGAGCTGGATTAGAATGAGAGTACAGGTGAAAGATGGAAGGTAAGGAAAAGGGTGTGAAAGCCAAACAGACTTCACGGGCAGCATAGGTCTTAGGAAGGAAGGAAGAACTGGTCTGGATATAGGATGACATAAGTGGAATGGTAGAGGATTCTGTTGACATTAATGGCATAAATATCTGACTAATGATGTCTGCAAGTGAGGAGGAGAAGGAATTAGGTCTTAAGGGAGAGATGGTATATGGAACATGTCAACAAAGGTTTAAAGGCATGACAGGAAAGGGCATAAAGATTACAATGAGATCCCAATCAGGCAAATCATAGGAACGTGGAGGATGCATGACCCAAAAGGAGCAGAGAAGGGGTGAAATGACAGAAGAATATAAAACTTTATGAAACTTGTAGAAATGGAAGGTGATTGACAAAGCAACCTGATAGTTAGATCCAGTTGAAGTGGACAAGCTTTTGTCAAACAACCAGGTGAAAAATTAGGAAAGATGAGGTATGGAAGAGTGGACAGTATGGAAACCACATCAAAGAGACAAAAACAGAAGGAAGACCATCGCCTTTGGTAAATGGAGATGGAAGGTCTTATGGATCTGGAAAGGAAAGATGCAACACGTGGAGTCAGTCTCTGGGCTGAGGCAGTGGACCTGACAAAAGCCATGTGTGAAGACGGAGGGTGGCGACATCTAGATGAATGATGTCCAACTGAGGCTGACGGACTAGAGACTGAGACAGAGGTAAGAGTGGGGGAGTTTGTATAAGTAAAGGTCAGAACAGTGGGAACCATGGTTGCACCAGCCAATATGTATCCATTAGGAAGACTAGACACAGAGTGATTTGGATTAGGGATAGAACTCTGGGGAGGAGTTGAATATGAGGGTAAGCATAGATGTGATGACTCCTCCAATCTTGACTGAATATGTTCACTCCCAAAGTTAGCAGGTGTGAAAAGGGAGACCAAAAGGAAGGAAGTTTGGTGTTCTAGTGGATGGTGAAAGCATTGATATGAGGTGTTCCCACCTGAGAACACACCCACTGAAAAATCTGTGGATTGAGGGCCACTCCATGGGAAGAATCTTGTTGGGTTGAGATAAACGATCCACAACCAGATTCATGGCACCAGGAACATGGCAAGATAAGACCACCGTGTAGTGATTGCAGGCCCAGTAAAGGAGATCCAAGATCTGAAAGCACAGAGACTGTGGAGTTGTTGGAGTGTACCATAACCATCCTTCTCCACAGGAGAGGAAGGAAATGGGACAAAGCAAGACAAATTGCCATAAGTACAAAAATGTTGATATGGAGAGAAGATTCCTCAACCGACTAGAGACTGGAAATTTCCCAAGTGTCAAGGTAAGAACCCCAACCCTCTAAAGATGCATTCATTAACAGATGTAAGTCCAGACAAGATGGAGGAAGTGGAACCCACACTGTGGTCTGGTCCCTGTCTAGCCACCAAGCCAGGCCAGCCCTAATTGGGGAAGGAAGGGTAAAAGGGTGGTCCCAGGGATCTGAGTAAAGTTCCACTGATCAAGAAATGTCCACTGAAGGGAATGCATACAAGGTCAACCCATGGGAAAGAAGGCTTCCAAGGAAGCCCACATTCCCAAAAGAGATAGAACCTCTTGAGCTATGACAGAATGTAGGGTGAGGGCCTTGTCGACTGCTTGCTTCATATTCCAAAGATGAAGAGGAGAAGGCTGGGCCAAACTGAGGTTGAAAGTGAAGATAATTCCCAAATGAACAAAGTACTGAGTGGGGGATAAGAATGGACTTCTCCATCTATATCAGGAATTCCACCTGTGCTGTTTCTTGTAGGACCAGACGAGTGTGGTCTCTAGACTGTGAATGGAAAGAAGCAAGCAGGAGCCAGTCATCAACATAATTATGAGTGCATAGACTTATTGAGTGAAGATGTCTGTCAAAAGTTCTTACCACCTGACAAAACATATAAGGAGCCGAAGTTAGTCCAAACGGTAGGGCCCTAACTTCTGTTTCTAGCTATAAATAACAATGGACGATGTGGGTACTGTGGGGATGAACTCTTGTAGAGTACGAGGAGAAAAATTTGATTCTAGTATCAAAAATGTAGGAAATGTAGCCGAAACAAAGTTCAGCCCTACAAATGGGAAAGAAACAAATATGTTAGCGAAGTAGCAATGAAAAAAATTAGTCATACACTGACAAAAATTAAGATTATAAGGCACATATTTAACAATGACGAATAAAAATTATTCAAATAGAACAACGATTTACATGTTTCTAGTAGGAATGATATGTAAAGTACAATCTATCTACATATACTTAGTAAACAAAGTACTCATTAATATCAAACTGACAAAACATCAAAATTTACCTAGTGTACAAAGTATGTAATAATAATGCACATGTAAAGCAAATATAATTACCTAGAAAACAAAGAAATAATCAATATCTAGCTTATATTAAATCTAAATTAACTTAGATAACAAAGAACACATAAATATCTAACTTACCAAAGTCTGAGCACTGATGACTCAAAATACTTAATTCTCCCACATGTAATGGACAAAACCACACAAAGGGCATCTGAGCTGTGTACAAGTTGAAAAACTTATCACTGATCCACTGGAAGATCTGGAAGCAAAAGGAAGAAAGGAGGAGAAGAACAAAACTCCATCAAAGTGAATGATGTGGAGGCATGGCAACAAGAGCGGGAAAATTAAAACTATCAAAATCACCCTAGTCTCGAGCATACAGAAAAAACTGAATGTGCATCGAGCTTCAACCTGAGTAATCAGCTGTAAAAAGGGTGTAGAAGGTGAAATCTCCTGAAGAGGTGTAGAATGTGACAGACCAAAATAAGAAAGTCTTGGGAAAAGAGAGTACAAACTGTCTTCTCCTTGATTGTATTCTTCCTCAGCAACATTGTCAGGTTGAAAAGGAGAAGAAATCACTGGCTGAACATATGAATCAAGCTCCTTGCAAATTAAGGCCTGTACCTCCTCTGCAAGTAAAATCGAACCCGGTTCCTGGGAAGTCATACCAGTAGCGTTGTTGACTGCAATGGTCACTACCATAATCAATACGTCAAATCACAAATTCATATGAAGTTCTTGTATAATTTGGAAACAAGAAACAATTGCAAAAAAGGAAATGTCTTTGAAACAACTGAATGCAAACACAGTAAAAGAAAACTGTTGAAAGAAAATTTAAATGGTAAATAAGCACAATTATAAATGGTAGCCACATGTGAAAAAAAACATATGTCTAAATGAAGTTGTGCCAATTGAGAAAGTGAGGATTGAGTGGGAATGGCAGAGGGAGCTAGCTGTGCTAATATAGGTGGCACAATACTATTGGTAGAGAGTAGTCACATAAGATGTACATGTTAAAAAAATGGCATGAAATTGATCGGGTATATAGACTGGTGCACCGAGCGTGAAAGTTTTTTAGCAATTCTTAGAGTGCAGAAAGCAGATCAAGATAGCTTTGCGTGAAAGAGATAAGACCGTATAGGAAATTAATTTCATCGTATAATAGAAATTTTATATTTTTTATTCGAGTATTATGGTCTATATCAATGCAAGTGGTTTATTTTAAGAACTAATTTTTGTATTTGTAATAATATAGTTTTTTTAATTATCATACATTAGTGAAAGCTTTTTGGTGTAATATGCTCTCTCAAACACTTTACAGTTTTCCTGAACACTAAAACCAATTTAGGAAATGCATAACCCACCAAATATTGTTCTATTACCGTATTTTTCGGTGTATAAGACACACTTTTTTACCCCAAAATTAGATGTCAAAATCTGCTTGTGTCCTATACACCGAAGGAATCAATAATACATATGTATATATATACGATATAGACAATCCATGTGTAAATATATTTAAATAGGCATGCATAGTTTAGTTCAATTGAATG